TTTTTTTTTTTTTTTTTCTTTTTTGCAGCTACTTTTTTGGTTACTGCTGCCTTGCTTTTCTTATATTGGGCTGTGTAGGTAGCTTTTTTTAAAAAATATCTGGTTATTTAAAAAGTTGTTTTTCAGTGGCTTCTAACATGTCTCGTCCGAGAGTCTTCTTTGATATAACCATTGGTGGGCAACCGGCTGGGCGAATTGTGATGGAGGTAATGACGAGCTTTGAGTGTGATATTGAAATGAATACGTTTTCCTTGTAGAAATTAATTTTGCTGTGACTTTGAAAAAAAAAGCTTAAAGGGGTTTTAATTTTTTTGTTGTGCTTCGTTACATTTGCTGGCGAGTATCATCCTAACATGCTTTACTGTTGTAGCTGTTCAGCGATGTTGTCCCTAAGACGGTTGAGAATTTCCGTGCATTATGCACTGGCGAAAAGGGCATGGGTAAAAGCGGAAAACCACTGCATTACAAGGGCTCCAAGTTCCATCGCGTAATTCCGAACTTCATGTGTCAGGTTAGAGTCTAGTTTATATTCTTTTTTTTCAAAGTTTTTAGTAACTTTACCTAGAAATTCAGGGCGGGGATTTCACTCGTGGTAATGGAACAGGCGGGGAATCAATATATGGCGAAAAGTTTGCTGACGAAAACTTCATTGAGAAGCACACAGGTCCAGGTGTTTTGTCCATGGTTGGTATATCATTTAGTTACATTGGTTGGATGGTATGATTCTTGAGTTGCTTTATTTATTGTTGAGTAACTTTTTAAGGCAAACGCTGGTCCAAATACAAATGGTTCGCAGTTCTTTCTTTGCACTGTTAAGACCGAGTGGTTAGATAATAAACACGTTGTTTTCGGCAGAGTGGCTGAGGGTATGAACGTAGTCAAAGCAATTGAAGCTGTGGTGAGAATTTAATTCTTTCTGGACGTTATGCATGAGGGGAAAAAAGTGGCATAGAAGCAGTTCTTTTGGGTCGTTCTCATCGTTTACTTTATTTTCTGGGGGTGAGAATAGTGAAATTATTTATTATTCTATAGGGCTCACAGAGTGGAAAAACCTCGAAGGATGTTGTGATTGCCGATTGCGGACAACTCTGAAAGGCTTATCATATAATAGCAACAATGGGAATATCTAATAACTGAATGTTTAATATTAATTAATTTATGTTGGTTATTATTTTGCTCGTTCTTGTTGGTTTGTTCTCAAGTTAATAAAAATTTGAGGTGTCTATTGGTAACATCATTGTTTTGATAAGTGGTGCAGTTTTTTAAATAGTCGTGTTTTTGACAGACGAAAAGTGGCCAGTGTGAGTAACTTGGGTTTTTTTGGCTTAGGAGTTATGATTTTGTTTGTTTTTTTGTGGCGTCGTGTTGGGTGGGACGCAACTTCAGCTAGAGGAGTGTGTGCATTGCTAGGTTTTTTTTTGTTTGTTTGTGGACTGTGGCCTATCGTTCTGCTGTGGTAGGAGCGGTCGTTAACTAGAGCAATTAGTTTGGGTGGGGGCATTTCAAGGAGCTGCTGGGTAACGGGGTAGCTTTGTTGGTTTTGTTTATCGTTTAGTTATTTTTTTTTTCTGCGGCTGATGTGGGTTTCATAGGGGGCGAGAGGGGTTCGGGAATTCCGCGTCGCTCGTGTTATTAGATTGGTGGTAGATGGCCGTCGTCCATGTCTCGTTTTTACAAATGTTTCAAGGAATTAGGCTTGTTTGTCGTCGGATTTTTTTTGTCGCAAATTGGTATTTTATGGTTAGGTGCTACTGGTTGGTACCTGGAAGTTGTTGTTGGTGTTTCTTTTGAATTAGATTTTGAAATTTAGGTTGATTGTGAGGGCTCTGACAACGCATTTGTTACAAATGTATTTCAAGGGTTTAATTTC